ACTCTAATGGAAGAAAGTGAAGAGGAACTAAAGAGTCTCTTTATGACTGTGAAAGAGGAGAGTGAAAAAGCTTATTTGAAACTCAACATTAAAAAAACTAAGATCATGGCATTTGGTCCCATTACTTCATGACCAACAGAAGTGGGGGGAAGTGGAAGCAGTGACAGATTTTATTTTCTTGGGCTTCAAAATCACTGTGGATGGTGACTGCAGCCATGAAATTAGAAGACTTTTGCTCCTTGGAAGAAAAGCTATGACAAACCTAGACAGCATATTAAAAAGCAGAGACATCACTTTGCTGACAAAAGCCCATCTAGTCAAAACTATGGTTTTTCCAGTAGTCATGTACGGATGTGAGAGAGTTGGTCCATAAAAAAGGATGAATGCCGAAGAATTGATGCTTTCAAGCTGTGGTGCTGGAGAAGACTCTTGAGAGTCCCTTGGACAGCAATGAAATCAAACTGGTCAATCCTAAAGGAAATTAACCCTGAATATTCATTGGAAGGACTGTTGCTGAAGTTGAAGCTCCAATACTTTGGCCACCTGATGTGAAGAGCCAACTCATTAGAAAAGACCCTGATGCTGGGAAAGACTGAACCAAAAGAAGAAGGGGGTGGCAGAGCATGAGACGGTTAGAGAGCATCACTGGCTCAATGGACATGAATTTGAGCAAACTCCGGGAGACAGTGGAAGACAGAGGAGCCTGGCGTGCTGCAGTCCATGACCTCAAAAACAGTTGGATATGACTTAGTGACTAAACAACAACAACAACGAAGAAGAGGTTGTTCTGTCTCTCAGTCCTGTCTGACTCTTTCTGACCCCATGGACTGCCACACACCAGGCTTCCCTGCCAAAAAGTTTAAGAAAAAAACCAATGAAGACAGTTGGTCCATGAGAAGCCTTCCTCCTACCACCATTTTCCAGAGCAGCAAATTCTAAAGTATCTGAGAATTCCTCTTCGGACTTGGCTTTCCAGGTTGATTTCCTTCAGGATTAACTGGTTTGATCCCTTGTAGTCCAAGGAACTCTCAAGAGTCTTCTCCAGTACCACAATTCAAAAGCATCAATTCTTCAGCGCTCAGCTTTCTTTATGGACCAACTCTCACATCTGTACATGACTACTGGAAAAACCATAGCTTTGACGATCCGGACCTTTGAGTATACGGAGTAATTAATTACTCATCAAGGTTGGAAGATCAAACCTACTTATTTAACCGTCCATTAGCTTACTGTATAACCTGTAGGCATTCAGCACGTGGTCTCCCTTTGTCCTCTCCCAAGCCTCACACCCTGTACAGAAGGAACAGGTTTACGGAACGCGAGCCATTCTTCAGGGCAGAAGCAAAAGCAACTCTGTCCCTCGCCCCTGCCCCATGACCCCACTCTGTGGGTGTATTCATTCCTTCCTCTGCTTAAAATCTGGGCAGATCTTTACCACTCTTCTGGTTTCGCTTAGCAGAACATTCTCACTCCAAGAATGAATATTAAAACTCTTATTCAAATTAAAACCTCTCCCTCCCCAGCTGAGAATTGTGCACCCAGAATGGGGTGGAGGGGCCCTTTCTCTGGTTTTCACTCCTCACGCTCTGATCACTCACTGCTGTGTTGGACCCTTTAGAGTTGGATACAGAGATGAGGAGGTGACAACAGATGAGACATCTAATCACCATCTGTGAAAGGGAGGGAGGGGATGATCGGGGAGGGAGGCAGGAAGAAAAATGAAATACACATGCTGGTGGCTCACATGGTAAAGAAACCACCTGCCATGGGGGAGACCTGGGTTCAATCCCTGAGTTGGGAAGACACCCTGGAGAAGGGAACAGTTACCCACTCCAGTATTCTGGCCTAGAGAATTCTTGAACTGTATAGCCCATGAGGTCATGAAGAGGTAGACATGACTGAGTGACTTTCACTTCAAAGAGCTTCACCAATGTGTTAGCCTTGGTACAATGGTACAATGGAAGGACTAGGGTGTGGAACTGGGGGCTCCATCCTTATGCAACCCTCCCGGTCAATTAATGTTATATTTCCCTTTAGCTTTTACTTGGCATCTAAACCCTCTGTGGCTGACAAAAGTCATTAGTGGCCCAAACACAGGGCTGCAAGATTTTACTGGAAATGGGTCTCTAAGGAATTGATGTCCTCTTCTTTCTGCCAAAATAGCTTCATCAGAGGGGCCCACGCTGGGCTTGTGATGGAGGTGACCAGAGCAGAGCACCCCTGTGTAAAAAGCAAAATGCACCCAGAACATGTCAGACCTAGATGCCCAGTCCAGGAGGGCAGGCACAGGCACATATACACACAGAGAAAAGAGAACACAGGACCAATAACCATGAAATAAGAGAAGACCATTTGTCAAGAAACAGCCCTGTCATCCTGCCCATCAACTGAAACCAAGCCACTATAAACACATGTATGGAGCAAGCAGAGGCCAACGCTGTGAAGAGCCCGGTGCCAAACGCTGTCCCCAAGCCTTCTGCTTCTGGAATGAATCAGACTCGGGACTGTGTGACACCAGCCCACAACTCACCCAGACCCGAATCTCATGCCTGCAGTGCCCACGCAGGCCTTTGGGTGGAAAGGCTCAGTCAGGCTCCAAAGCATCTACCTCAACCTGCCCCAAGCCTCCTTAACACCTCCCAGTATCCCATTTGGAAACCCATTTTCCACACATTCATCCAGTTCGTCCCTGAACGTAATACACCTTCTCCCTGCTCCCATCCTGGTAGAAAGAGTTCTGCGAGATGACATTTGTTGGGGACTCTTTTTATTTGTGCCAAAACCATCCTTTCCAAATTATCTCTGGAAGTCCCCGAGTTCCAATCTACCAAATGCCAGAACCCGCATCCCCCATTCAACGGCTTCCTGCATGGACTTCCCATCTGGTCCCTCTCAGCACACACAGTCCAGGCTGTAGGAGCCTTTTCCACCTCCCCTCCCCACCCCCAGTACACACAAACACACTTTTGAATTACAAAAGTAATACATGGGTATATGCTCTGTGTAAAATACGCAAACAAGACACAAGCAGACAGAACCAGGAGCGGGGTGGAGGGAATGGGAGTTCTCTTTCACTCTCTCTTAGGACCTGGTCAAGACCAGGTCTCTCCATACAGGAAACTGCCAAAAATGGTTTCCTACCAACTTTATATGGGTTCCCCAGGTGGCTCAGTGGCAAAGGATCCACCTGCTAAAGCAGGAGACTCAGGAGAGGTGGGTTCAATCCCTGGGTCGGGAAAATCCCCTGGAGGAGGAAATGGCAACCCACTCCAGTATTCTGGCCTGAAAAATCCCAGGGACAGAGGAGCCTGGCAGGCTACAGTCCATGGAGTTGCAAAGCGTCGGACATGACTGAGCACACACAGTATTATTAAGTACTACCAGTTGTATACATATATATATATATATACCTATATATAGATTGAATTTTTCATAAGTGAGATCTTAAACATATCATTTTTCAACTTGAAAAACTTTGTTTTTAAAATATTCTCCTATGGAAGTGTGCAGATTCCACACTACTCTGGGTGTTTGGAGAATAATACTAATCGAAGCCTTGGGGGAGCATTTCCAAACAAAATGAAGGAAATAAAATTGCAAGCAAAATTTTCCAGAAGTACTTTTTATATGCTTTTCTGAGAACCGATTGAACTAGCCATGCAGTGTGCCGACACAAAACATCCCGGTCTCCTCAATACAAGGCACTGCCGGAATTCATCCTGGTAGCCCTGCCAGGCTTGGTAAACACCAAGGCGGACAAAAGAACCAGGACCTGTCGCTTCTTGCCTAGCTCCGTAAACAATAAGCCCCGTGGTACCCTGGAAAGCACAGGATTTGGAGAAAGAAGACAGGAGGTGAGTCCTGAGTTGCCACTGAACCTGGCGACCTCTCTCAGAGCCCATGTTTCCTCGGTTAAAGAAAAGACAATATGATATTCTAATAGCTAACCATGGCGTGGTTTTAGGATCAAAAGAGACGGATGGCACCAACGCAGGGTGTGTTCAAGAACGGGAAAGGCTAAATTCGAGCGAGCTGCGCAAACGAAAAGACTTGGCAACTTCTACTCGAGGGCTCACGCGTTTTCTGGGGGGATTCAATCACGGATTGAGGAGACGCTGCCCGAACCTTCCTGGGGTGGCCAGCGCGCCACCTGCCGGCGGAGGAGGTGGCCGCGGGGGGGTCCCGGCACCGCGGGCTCGGGAACCCAGCTCCCTCTCCCAGCCCGCCGCCGACTCTTGCGATCCGAGCCTGGTCCTCGTTCCCCCGGCCGGGGAGCCGCAGCCCAGGCTGCTCCGCAGGCCCAGCCCCAAAGGCCGGACGGAGTCCCCCCTCCGGTGTCTCTGGCGGCCGGCGTGCGAGTGGGGGGCCCGGATGCAAGGCCTTGGCGTCGCGGGAACCTGCTCCCCAACACAAAGCGGCCGCGCAGGTGAGCGCGGCGGAGCCACGTGAGCCGGTGAACTTTCAGGAACTGGGCCAGCGAGCCCCAGCCAGCCACTGTCGCCCCCCTCCGCGCACCCCTGCCGCAGGTTTGAGCCGCCTCCGCTCGGATTCGGCAGCCGAAGGGGCGAAGGTTCGGGGAGCAAGGAAACGAAGGAGGGGGGGGGGGTGGGGGGCGCGGCCAGAGACCACCCCAGTCTCAGCCCCGCACCTCCGGTCCCGAGGCCCCGCGCCCTCAGCCCCCACAGTCTGTGCTCCTAGCATGCGATCACCCCATGTCCTCAGCCCCCCAGTCCTCGACCGTCCTGCGCCCCCAGCCCCCAATCCCACCCTCCCAAGCCCCAAACTCCACCTCCGCGTCCCCAGCCCTGGACCGCCCCGAGTCCCTAGGCCACCGGTTCTCGACCCCCCGGAGTCCCCAGCCCCGGCCGCCCGCGCCCCCAACCCCCCAACCCCCTGATCCGCAGCCCCTAAGCCCCCACCCCCGCGCGCCTCCAGACCCCGGCTTCCCCGAACCCCCCGGGCCCGCCGCCCCCCCACCCCACCCCGCCCCGGCTACTCACCGGCGGCCCCCGTAGCCGCTGCCGGGGGAGCCGGCGCCTGGGTCGGGATAGCCGTGCTGCTGCAGGGCCGCGGCCGGGAAGGGGTAGAGGAAGCCGGTGGCCAGCGCCGACCCGCAGAGGCAGCAGCACGCCCAGGGCAGGAGCAGAGCCAGCTTCATCTTGCGCGGCAGCCCGCGGGGACCCGGAGTCCCAGGCTGGAGGACGGTCGGGAGCGCACCGGCGGCCCCCGCCGGAGCCGAGCGAACGCGCCTCCTACGAGCGAGCGGATCCCGGGTCCGAGCTGGAAGTGCCTGGGGGGCGCCCACGCCTCTCAGGGCCGCCTTTTCAAATTCGGCGAGGTGGGCTCTGCGCCGTCAAAGGGGGCGTGGGGCTTTCTCATTAACCCTCGGCGGTCCGGGGCCGAAGAGGCGGCAGTGGAGGCCGAGCCGGGGGAGGGGAGCGGGGGGGGGGGGTGGCGGCGGGGCGGGGTTCCTGCTCCGCTGGGGGTCCCGGGAGCCGCGCGCCCCTAAAGCCAGACCTTGTGCCTGGGTCCCCGCACACAAGCTATTTAGAAACCTCCCAGCCAAACCTTCTTCAGGTCGCAAGCCTTCTGGAGCACCCACCCTGTTCCGGGCATGCTCACCTGGGTAACGTGGTTTTATCCCTATAGCATGGCTGTCTGTATTAGGTGGTGCCATTCCCATTTTTCAGAGGTAGAAACTGATGCTCAAAAAAGTTAAGCAAGAAAGATACACGCTCCTTGTCCAAGGCTCTTTGAACCAAATCGTTGCACACCCAGATGTCTGCAGAATTATCTCCCATTTTTACCTCCAGACTCTCACCTGCAGCTGTCTAAGTCAAGAAGATGCTTCGAAGGAAGAGGCATTCCGTATGGGGTGCAAAGTTGTCCCTAGACTCACAGATTTGTGAAGCACCATATCTGGGAAGGAGCTGGGGGAAGACGTGATACAATCCCACCTTTTACGGGTGTGAGAACTGGGTCCCAGACTACACACTGAGCCCAAGGCCAGCCTGACCCCAAGTAGGTGTTTTCTGGACCGTGTTATCCCCTCGGGACTTGTACCCAGCACAAAGGGCCAGTGGGAGCTGAAATCCAGCCTGTGCCCCACTCCCCAGGTTAACATCTTTTTCCAGTTCTCCTGACAGCATCCTAGGGGCTGGCAGAGACCCTGAGGCCAGCTCTGTGCATGCTAACAGTGGGAAGCTCCTAGTTCCTAAAATGCAGGTAGGACCGGAGAGAAGCCATCAAGTATGGAAATGCTTGGTGGACTGCAGCCCATTTTGTAGAAGAACTGTGGGATTGTTTTCAGAAGAAAAGGAAGATGCTGTTGAATATGTGGAGGGAAAGAGCAGGTTCCATGGCTCTTGCCCTCCTGTCACATGCCTCAGCGTGTATCCATATATACAATTCCCACATGTACCTTCTTGAGGGCTTCCCTCATAGCTCAGCCAGTAAAGAATCTGCCTGCAACGCAGGAGACCCAGGTTCTATTCCTGGGTCGAGAAGATTCTCTGGAGAAGGAAATGGCAACCCACTGCAGTATTCTCACCTGGAGAATCCCATGGACAGAGGAGCTTGGCTTGCTACAGCCCATGGGATGGCAAGAGTCAGACACAACTTACCAACTAAACTACCACCACCACTCTCGTGAGTATAAGTCGCAAGGTTTCATATCCAGTCCCCTTCACCCTTTCCCCAAACTGCCCATCCTTATCCACTCAATTCCCTCCAATCCTGCCTGGGCTTTTTATTTTTATTTCCTTTTACTATTTCATTTCAGTTCAGTTCAGTCACTCAGTCGTGCCCGGCTCTTGGCGACCCCATGGACTGCAGCACACCAGGCTTCCCTGTCCATCACCAACTCCTGGAGCCTACTGAAACTCATGTCTATCGCGTCGGTGATGCCATCCAACCATCTCATCCTCTGTTGTCCCCTTCTCCTCCCGCCTTCAATCTTTCCCAGCATCAGGGTCTTTTCCAACGAGCTGGTTCTTCGAATCAGGTGGCCAAACTATTGGAGTTTCAGCTTCAGCATCAGTCCTTCCAATGAATATTCAGGACTGATTTCCTTTAGGGTGGACTGGTTGGATCTCCTTGCAGTCCAAGGGACTCTCAAGAGTCTTCTCCAACACCATAGCTCAATAGCATCAATTCTTCAGTACTCAGATTTCTTTATAGTCCAACTCTCACATCCATACATGACCACTGGAAAAACTATAGCTTTGACTAGATGGACCTTTGTTGGTAAAGTAATGTCTCTGCTTTTTAATATGCTGTCTAGGTTGGTTATAGCTTTTCTTCCAAGAAGCAAATGTCTTTTAATTTCATGGTTGCAGTCATCATCTGCAGTGATTTTGGAGCCTCCCAAAATAAAGAAGATTTTAAATCTTCTCTCACTGTATCCACTGTTTCCCCATCTATTTGCCATGAAGTGATGGGACCTGGTGCCATGATCTTAGTTTTCTGAATGTTGAGCTTTAAACCAACTTTTTCACTCTCTTCTTTCACTTTCACCAAGAGGCTCTTTAGTTCTTCTTCACTTTCTGACATAAGGGTGGTGTCATTTGCATATCCAAGGTTATTGATATTTCTCCCAGCAATCTTGATTCTAGCTTGTGCTTCATCCAGCCCAGGATTTCACATGATGTACTCCGAATTTAGGTTAAAAAAGCAGGGTGACAATATACAGGCTTGACGTATTCCTTTCCCGATTTGGAACCAGTCTGTTGTTCCATGTCCAGTTCTAACTGTTGCTTCTTGACCTGCATACAGATTTATTTTATTTATTTCCTTGGCTGCGTCAGGTCTTACATGTGGCACATGGGCTTCTCTAGTTGTGGCACACGGGCTTAGTTGCCCCTCACTTGTGAGGTCTTAGTTCCCCGACTAGGGATCAAACCCGTGTCCCCTGTATTGAAAGGTGGATTCTTAACACTGGGCCACCAGGGAAGCCCCATGCCTCAGCCTTTCAAATGGGACTTCCACACTTCCCAAGTCCGGAGTTTGCACCTAGGAATAAGGATGCACAGAGTCCACCTCCGAGTGGACAGCCCCCTAATGGGAAACATCACTTGGACAAAGGACCACTTTCTTCATCTTGCCCTCCATCCCTTTCTCAAGGCCTAAAAGATTTGGAGAATTTGGGTTATCAGGGGATTTTCAGTGCCTCCCCCAAAAGGAATCTGAACTGTGTTCCTTGGGCTGTTTTCCAACACCCAATAAATGATGAGATCATCCCTCTCCTCCCCTCCCCCCCCCCCCCCCGCCAGGAATTTGTGAGCATCTGTCTTCCTCCTCTCCCTCCTTCACTTGCATAATGAGACCTTAAAGACCAGAGGAATTCCACGTTGCTATAAATTGGCTTTATGCTGTAGGCATTGCAGTAGAGGAACAAGAGTTCACTTTTTATCTTAAACTCATTTTTCCAGTGCCATGGGCGGCACCCAAGCTAGAGGGACCAAGGAGAGGAAGGGATAACACTCTTCTGTAACTGCGTGATTCTTTTAGGAGGAAAAGCTTTAGGGAAAGAATTAATACATCCCAGAAACTTCAGGACTAAGGCGGTTGGTTGAATTTGGTCCTCTGTTTCACCTCTAAGACAAAAGTTCACTCTGGCATCGTGAATGTCTATTGAGAAACTTCTGCATGCCCAGAACTCTGCTGGGTGCAGTGAATGCTCTAAGAGAAGCAAGTAACATATTTCCCACCCTCGGGTGCTTACATTATTTTTTAGGAAGAGTTAAAATAACCTTTTTTTCTTTTCCTTCAACAGCATGGACTTCCCTGGTGGTCTAGTGGTTAAGAATCTGCTTGCTAATGCAGAGGACACAGATTCAATTCCTAGTCCAGGAAGATCCCACATGCCGCGGAGCAACTAAGCCAATGTGCCCTAGAGCCCGTGCTCCGCAACAAGTGAAGCCCCCACGATGAGAAGCCCATGCACCACAACTAGAGAGGAGCCCGCACCCGCAGCAACTGATGAAAGCTCATGAGCAGCAACGAAGATCCAGCACAGCCATGAGTAAATAAATAACTCTTTTTAAACCAGCTGGAAGTCTGGACAAATGCTCTGACAACAAGAGGAGATTCCATTTAGAGGGCAAGGGATAAAAATGCAAAGATGCCAAAAATCAAGAAATGTGATATCACACAAGTCTACTCCTGGTGCCCCTGCTGACTTGCTGGGTGACCTGGAGTAAACCCCTTCCCTCTCTGGTCCTCCCCAGCATCTTCATTTGGAAAATGAAGAGTGGACTGGCTTGTCTCTAAAGTCTTTTCCAGTACCCGGCCCCCCTCCAAAGAGGGCATGGGAGCCAAGAAGAATGGAGAAGGATTCTCCATTCTTAGAATGTGTGGTATCACATTCTAACCCCTCCCTCACCTCCAGAGGACACCAGGTAATAGGGTTCAATTCCAAAGGGTACCAGCTGTGTGACCTTGGACAAGTTACTTAACCTCTCTGAGCTTCTACATCTGTAAAATCAGAATAACAGTACCCAATGTATGGGTTTGCTAAAAGAATTCAGTGAATTATTCACACAAAGTTCTTGGAATCATGTGCCTGATGCATTGTAATGTTCAATAAATGTTAATGGTTATTATTTGCAGAGCTTTGGTGAGGGATTAAAATTAAACTATGCTCCCCCCGCCCTTCTCAAACTCCCAAGTGGGCTCATAACCCAGGAGTGATGGGAGCTTTCTTAGAAGAATCTGGAGCCTGGGATAAATCTGGTATATCTTTCTCTGTGGTCAATAATTTAAAGCAAAACTTCATTTTAAAACAAATACGGGAACATCATTGAGTAGAATGTGATATTTGCATTATTTTTCAAGCTTAAACATAATTGTGGGTGGCGGCAAAAGTGGGGAAGTTTGAGCAGCCTTGAAATAAAGGGCCTTCTGGTGTCCTCAGAAAGATCCAGTGATTCCTCAGATTCTAGCCACCCCAGCGGGGCTCTGGTTCACACTCCACACAAGTACTCACCTCTGTATTTCTAAACTATGCCCACGGCACTTACCGAATATGTGTTAAAGCCTCATGAGAGGCAGCAGCCACTGTTCCCAAGAGTCCGAGAAGCCACACATGGAAGCCTTGGAGTCGCTATCCAGCTCGTACTGCCGGCTCCCTCTCCCTAGAGCCATGGCGATCTTGGGGCA